ACGATGCAAAGAATCATTCACCAATTTAAGGGAAGCGATCACGAACTCATGGAGTACGTGCCACAAAGATACATCCCGGACGGTACGAGAGGCAAAGAGCTGCCGAAGTATTCAGGCAGACCAAACCAGGAATTGGACGAGGAGATTAGAATTGGGGAAGTCAAGGCTGCGGCGAGGGAAGCGAGAAACAGCACGCCGGGCAGAGATGGAGTCACCAACGGAGCATTAAGAAACCTACCAGAGAAGGAGTACAGGAGACTCACCGATATGTTCAACGAAGTCTGGAAGCGAGGAAAGCTGCCGGATGGGTGGAAGCAGTCCGACATAAAGTTTATTTCGAAACCGGGGAAGAAGATCGGACTCGAAAACCTGAGGCCGATCTCTCTGACTTTGGCGGTTGGGAAGCTAATAGAAAGAGTCGTCAAGAACAGGCTGCAACCGTACATCGAGGAGAACGGCTTCTTCCACAACGCAATGTTTGGGTTCAGGCCTTACCTTAGTACGCAGGACATTTTTGCGCTTTTAAAAGAAAACGTACTGGATGAATTTCCTAAGGGCAGGAACACCGAGCGAGTGGTCATGGCGATAGACCTGAAGGCGGCGTTTGATAACTTCGATCACGAATACGTGATGGAAAGGCTGGCGGCGATGAATTGTGGCGAGCGTACCTACAACTACGTGAGGGACTTCCTAAGAGACCGGAAAGGAAGAATACACGTTGGAGATTTGCATCCCAAGCTGGTGGGACTCACAAATAAGGGAACGCCACAGGGAGCGGTAATATCGCCGCTACTGTTCAACATCACCATGATGGAACTACCGAAAAAGCTCGACGACATAGACGGCCTCGGCTTCGCGTTCTACGCGGATGACGTCACGCTGTGGGTCGGAAGCAAAGAACTGAAGCTAGGAAGGAAAGTGGAAATTCTCCGGCAAGCGGTGAAGCGAGTCGAAGAACACGTAAAGAAGTGCGGGCTGGAAATCTCGGTGGAGAAATCGGAGATACTTCGGTTACACGGTGCAGGATACGACAAGAGCGTCCCGATCAAAATCACGGTCGGCGGGAAAATGGTACCGGAGAAGGACTGCATCCGAATACTCGGTATGTGGCTGCAAACCAACGGAAAGCCGAGCACGATGATCGATAAGATCAAGACGTCGGCGAAACAGATTTGCGGTATGATCAAGCGGATCGCAAACAGGAAAAAGGGATTTAAGGAAGCCGAGACGCTGCGGATAGTAGACGCGCTAATCATAAGCAAAATGAGATACTGCCTTCCATACTACAACATGACGAAGGCAGATGAGAACAGGGCGGACTGCATACTACGGGAATCTTACAAAACTGCGCTGCATCTACCGGCGTGCACGCCGACAGAGAAGCTCGAAAAGATGGGAATCACGAACACTTTCCGGGAATTCAGAGACGCGGTCATATTGGGACAAAAGGAGCGATGGAGGTTCACCAAGGTCGGAAGGGAGACCGGAGTCCGGCTCGGCTACGGCGATATAAGGACGAGAAACCTGAAAGGCAGCTGACCGAAAGTTTGGTGAAACGATACAGAGTCAGCCCCATACCGCGGCACATGCACCAAAAAATACACAAGGAACGGAGAAAGGAAAGAGCTGACTACTACAGAGTAAAGATGGAAGGAAGAGAGAACGTCATGTACACCGATGCTGCGGCGTATGGTAGCAACAAAGTCGCGGTTTGCGTCGGGCATGACGGAAAAGAGCTGGACAGTTTGTCACTGAAAGACGCGACAAAGACGGAAGCAGAGGAGGCGGCAATCGCAATGGCGATCAGAGCGGGAAAGGGGCACACGTACATTCTGACAGACTCGCAGAATGCGTGCAGGAATTATATGAGAGGCAGAGTGTGCGCTACTGCCGCGAAAATCCTAGAGAGAGCCGCAAACGGTTCGTCAACTTTCGAAATTATCTGGGTCCCGGGGCACGAGGGTATTCCAGGTAACCAGGCTGCAGACCTTCGGGTCCGTAGATATGTCGACCGGGCAGAAGCGAGGCAGTGGGTGTACTCAGACATGCTGGACCACTTCAAGGCCCAGAGGAGACAGTACGGGCTCCCGTGCCGGGAGCTAAGCAAAGCCGAGAGTACTGCCTGGCGAAGGACCCAGGCGGGCAATTAGACTAACCCGGTGCTCCTGAAACACATGGGGCGCAGAAACGACGACGCCTGCAAACACTGCGGGCAAAGAGCCACTTTCTCGCACATGATGCGGGCATGCCCGGACACTCCAGGGCTTGGCGACACTATTGACGACCGGCGGTGGGAAGAGATGCTGCGCAGCGAGGTCTACAAGATCCAGGTACACCTGATCAACCGGACCAAGCTAGCTGCAAGCTCCCAAGGGATCCCGGACTAGAGGATTCCACTCACCGAACCGAAGACCCCGTTCCCTTCCCATTTTGCTTTGGCAATAAATGTTTTACCACCACCACCACTACCGCTTTTTTGTTTTGTTTTTTTCTTTTTTTTTAATACTGACGCACTTTTGCTTTATTTTTTTGACGAGAGAGTCCGTGCAAAATGTGTCAAACAATAGTTCAACTTACTTCACAAAGCAGAAGTTTATATATATTTCTTGTTCTTTTTCTATTGTAAAGCATAGAAGTTACACAATCGCCGCATTGACTCCTGACTGGTGGAGCATTTTGGGGTCAACAACAGTAAGTGGTTCGAACACATTTTATTGGACCACATTCATGTATACATGATTTACTTCAGAAGCTCTGTATGTTTTATACGAAAGAGATCGATACTCACAAGAATAAATGAATATGAAGGACTTCAGCATATCGTACACTTCCTAATAGATTCTTAGCGGAACCAAGTTAACAAAACCTTTCCACGGAGAACATGCTGTATGATACATTCACTTTCACGCCGACTCGGGTACGGGAATTAAGTGCAAAAATAAATAAGACATCGCTATCATTACCAGTCATAAAAGTATAATAACAGTGCGAAGCACACGCCGGATAATACAAATTCCCGATTTCCGACAAATATAAAAAAACACCGATTCGCATAGCCTCAAACTCACTGCGGGCGAGCCATTACCAAACAATGAGAACTCTATTCGAAATCTGACAAGATTCAACGTCCCTAAACATTCCCCGAAATTTTTCAGAACAGAAATATGGCTTCAGAAAAAAGCGGCTAAAAAACTATGGACAGTGGATACAAAAGTGGATACATTTTCTTTCAAATATTTTTAGCCTCTATACACAATTTTCTATCTAAATTTTGTAAAAAGTGGACAAATGTTTTTCTTAGGGAGCCGTGATACACATTCGCTGGAAAAAGGGGAAGCAAATATTTGGAGAGCAAGCTGCACCGCCCACTTAATAAGCACTTTTTGTTTTTGGTTTGGCAACCGCCTCAGTTAATACTCTATTAACAGTTAAACCTGTCTCGTTGCTTACTAGCCACTGAAGAGTGCAACCGAACTTTGTCCAAATTCCGGTTAAGAAATCAAACATGTCAACACAAGCGTATTCTGCAAAACAATTTTAAAAACCCTTTGTGGTATTCCTCTGGGCAAAGGCTAGAACCACCCAGACCTCAAAGTGTGCTATACAACGCGGCACACACTCCTCAAACATGTGTCACACTCTCTATTATGGGAAGAAAGTGATTTTCTAGTTGCTGAATGAAATGAAAAGCAGTCTGTGATGGTACTACTAAGTTCCCGAAGAATTTTCCAGGCACGTGGTATGCTTTAGGAACAAGACAGTACTGGTGAGGCCTGGTCAAGTTATTAGACTCATCCGATAGCAGCCTAAAACAGCCACAGCTGTAAGTTGTCTGTTCAAGCAAAAGCTTGATCAAATAGCCCCAAACGTAATAAAAAAGTGGACGAGTCATCAATTATGTTAGACCTGATATCTGATGCCAGCTCAGAAATATCCTCTAGTGGCGGGAACTTATCAATTGGAAGACATTCCACAATGTCTGAAATTAAACTTTCATGGTACGAAGATATTTGCAACTCCTTTAGGAGGTCAGCCTTGTCATCCTCTACGTTTTTATTGTCCGACAGTTTGAACAGTTTCTTTATCGAGAGGTGTTCTAGTCCTGAGGTGAACTGGTGCACATTTGGGTTTGTGTTGCAGCCCAGCATTTGTCGTATATAGCTCCAAAAACGTTCTCAAATGTGTCTTGCTGCAGGCGTCGTGTAAGTAAGAACTTAAAGTCATGGCTGCTTGAAAGCTCATCCCAGAGCATGAGGACATTTTTTATAGTAACTTGCCACCCAATGATGGCTTATGGCAGCCTCCTACTTCGGAACTGCCATGCTGAAATCCATCCCTACTGAAAAAACCCGTATAAAAATTCATACTGGTTGACCCGTATATTTCATACGGTGTTGTGGGGTACGGGTCTCCCGTATGCTACTGGGAACCCGTACCTGTACAGGTTGACCCATTCAGATACAGGAACCCGTACCTGTATGCGTTGACCCGTTTAGATACGGGACTCATACCTGTACGGGTTGACCCGTTTCGGTAAGGGAAACCGTGCCTGTACGAGTTGACCCGTTTAGATATAGAAACCCGTACCTCACAGGATGACCCATTCAGATATAGGAACCAATATTTATACAGATTCACCTGTTCAGATCGAGAAACCTATATCTTTACAGGTTTACCCGTTGTGACGCAGTGACAGGAATCAACAAGGTGTTGAACGTTTGCATACGGACGTACGGATCTTTGCAGGTTTAACAATTCGCATGCATTTGTCATGCAAAGAATGAGCATGAGCCAGGTCATTTCAGGTTATACGTGTATTTAGTGAAGGAAAATTGGCATACTGCAGAACATCAACAAGAATCTTAACCTCTAAGCAAACTTAGAAGTCAAGCTTCTTGTTAATATCCTGCAGTAGGATATTAACACATTGGCATACTGCAGTAGGCTGACCCGAGCTGTCCTCTTCCCTGGAGAGGCCTCTCGAGGATGCCTTCATGTGTACTCGTTGAAGGCATCTGCAGGGGAAAATAATACAACAATAAGTGATGTATATCTACAGTTTCTCGAAAAATTTAATATTTTACTTCCTGCAATTATAAGCAAGCAATTTCCACTACAATTTATGCTTTGTTAATATCTTGTGATACCATGTAGACTCCAAGAGCAACTTCTTACGATTACGCAGTCTGCTGAAAACAGCAGGTATGCATGATTCGGCCAGAAAGTTTTGAACCAGTTCAGACCGACTTAGGAGGAGTGCAGAAGCAGTGCGCAAGTCGGGCTGCGGCTGCATGAAGTTAAGCTGCAGCGTTACAAACGACCCTGCAATTGGTTTCTGAAAGACCGAGGAGTTGCCACCTTTTACTGCATGAACGCTGAACTGACTTCAGCCAGCGCAAGATTCTGTGGAACTGAGGCTGAGCTCGTGCAGCACTGGGATAAATCGAACAGGCCCTGTTCAGCGTCCAAGCAACATCCGATTTAATCTAATACATCAGTTCTTACACTATTTGAACTATATATGCTGGTTCAAGCAAATCGAAAAGACCTAGTGTGACTTCCCACAACTATGCACTTAAAGTTTGCTTGCAACAGTGTGTTCCTTGCATTTCAGTGTCTATACAAATTATAGACCCTGGAGCAGGGGGACAAAAAGGAACGGAAAGACACGAAGCTCCGGAGCTTTGTGTCTGTCCCTTTTTGTCCCCACGCTCCCGGGTTACTAAGTCTATCCTTAACCAGCTCGCCTGCCTGTTAACTAAAATGAAAGTATGTTCTATGAATTCAAATATGTATTTTCAATTATGAACATGGGCCTCCGATTGCCTAAAGCCTCGAACATATTTCATGCCCAACAATGTCACCATGGAAACAAGTGAAAAGAACATTGAACACACAATTCTCGGCCGGCGGTTTTTGTGCGAAAGAAAGATTTTGAGCCGCAAATGTTGTTCTGGGCATGTATATAAATTAACAACACAGATTTGACATCAAGAATCATTTAACAAATTTAATATTTGTGTCACGACCCTTCAATGGTCCATTCATACGTGATAGGAGGAATACCCGCGATGAGAAGGTAATTTAGAAAAAATGGGCAGTACTCAAAGGACAGACTCAAACATAGTTCGGTTGCAGCAGCTCCAGTAGACAAACAGACTTGTTTCACAACTTTGCTAGTGCCAGCTTTTCGTTCAAAAGAAAAAATAAGTGCCTCACAGCTCCGCCGGGAAGCCAGCAGAAGGTCCTGCGAGCAGGCCACTGATATCATGGACCTCCCCCAAAAGTTGCAGGGATTAGCAGATATTTGCGACGCGGAGCATGTTGCTGTAAAAGCTCCATAGTGTGAATGCATCAGAAAGTGCCAAGCGACCTAGATGACCGTGACAAGGTCAATTTATTTTTCTTCATATATTAATAACAAAGAAGGAGATAGGGCTTCTTCATTTCGGTTTTGCGCTCAAAGCTTCACGCTCCTAAAGCTCGAGCTAGTCGAACTGTGACCCTTCAACAGCCTATAACACTGAAAGTTCTGAAGCCCTTGGAATATTTTATGCCATTCATTTTGTCGTAGCAGATTGCAACTTCGGAAGCCATAAGGTTTGAATGTCTCACCAAGTATGAGACATCTGTGAGAAGTGCGCACTTACTGCTGACTGCTGCCAACTTGACTGACTGGAGTCAGGGCCCTCTTGGCCATGGCGCCCTTGAAGCGCCGTCATGGCACACCTCACACTCGGCCCATGCAGGTCCTCCCTGCCGAAGATCAGCTTCGTAGCCTCTTTAACGAAGATGGAGTCTCCCCGGGCTCCCCTGACGTAGGACAGTTTGTACTTTTGCACCAAGACACCGTGACCAAGGTGAACCTAGAAATAGATAGAAATGCTCTATAGGAAATGCAGCCAGCCATTGGTCCCGATCTCGATCTTTCGGAAACTTGTGCAGACGTCTGCCGCACAATGACACTTTTTTTCGACGCAGGACATGCGAGGCAGCTCTTCACGCAACATCTTGGTGGTATTCTTTTCGCAGCTGATCACGGAAATTCACCACGGGCACTCACTACTCATCTTCAACTTCTCAATGTAAAGAGCAACTCATCTTGAAGTGCGGAACAGAGAGCGGAACAAACATAACTGCAAAGGAATCGCATAGCAAACAGTTCTAGCCATGCATGTCGTCTGGTGTACACACAAAAAAAAAAGGACACGGAAGGGAAAACAAAAAAGCTCACGGTCAGGTGTAGCCACGTGACCTCTCCCACTCACTCTCTCCGACCTCCGTGCACGGGTTTCAGTTTCGGTTCTGGGCAGTTGCGTTTTCTGGCTTTAATAAAAATATATGTGACTGTTGCAAAATATTAATTATCTAGTCTTTCGACACCATAATAAGTCGCCTGGAAAAAACTAAAATTTTGGGGGGGGGGGGGTGTAAGTGTCCGTTTAGGTGAGTTCTGAGTAAAGAGGAAGAGCGAAAGAAGGGTACCAATTATAACAGAATTTTAATCTGGGCTCGTGGTACACGATTTATGAAAAAGCTCGAAATAAAACGAGGACACTAGATAGAAAACGTTTCAAAAAAGCGCCAATTAATTGGTAAGAAATATCTTATCAATGCCCGGTTCTACTCTTTACATTCATCAGCATTTTGAAGCAGGACGATGGTTCAATTAAAGGAAGCCTACAAATAACCTCATTCAAGGAGCTGTGGAAACCATAAAATGTAGTTACTTGCCCAATATCTGAAATGAATATTCAATGAAATTCTGAACTTACCTCATCATCGACCTCTGCAATCACTGGCACACACTCGGAAGGTGCCTCCGGTGGGCCTGCTACAAGAACCGCTGCTGGAACAGCAGCATCAGCGGCCGGTACGGGTCGAGTGTGATCTACACCAGCTCGCACAACGCGAAATGGAGCAGGAGCACCAGCTGCAGGAACTGCTGCTGGGAAAGCTGGAGGAGCTGACCCAACACTGCCAGACGGGGCATTGTCCACTGCAACATAATAAAACACTGTCTAGAAACAAGACACGGTACAGGAGTGGACAGATTTTTCGGACGCCAAAAATTCAGACATGCTTGGCTATTCGGACTTCAGCACTTTCCTGGTACGTTAACGGCATGAGGGCTTCATAGTACTTCATGCCACAGCAGACTACCGGCAGTGTGCCTATTTGTTTTTCCGTAACACACCGGGGCCGGAAAAGTGGTGCGAGCAGAACACAAAAAAAAGGACGAGACGCAAAACCAAAAAAGAAAAAAAGGAAAAAAGGAAATGCGCTCAAATTTGCCGGCAGTGGGCGGCAGCAGTGGCGGATCCAAGGGGGGGCGGTGGGGGCGATCGCCCCCCCCCCCCCCCAAACGCCTCGCCAGGCAACCCCCCCCCCCCCCCCCCCCCGGGGTTCTTCGTCAGCTCGAAGAAAAACGTAAGCAATTGACGCGAGAAACAAAAGATTAACACACCGGTGAGTGGACGCGCCTGCTGGGCGCTTCCAAAGTGGGGTTTATCCCCGTCAAGGCCACGGTACGTCTTCCCGACAGGGACGGCGCCAGGAGTTTCGAAGTGGAGAGACAGTGGGGAGGCGCACCAAATATCATGGTCCTCGACTGCAGGCACACTTCCATACAAGGCCAGCACGTCGAGCACGAGGGGAGAATACCTTCAACATATCTAGTCCCCTTTCTCTCTCTCTCTCTCTCTTTGGGGGTGGTCTGCGAAAAATTTGTGCCCTGAAAGCTCCCAAACGCAGACGTCAAGCAGCCTTCCTCAAGGGTAGCGGATTATCCTTCCTCTCTAGCGGCAGCCTTTTCATCACTTTTCGTTTGATGGTTTCTTCGTGGTTCTGGGCTTGTCTTTTGGCATGTCTTTTTTGGCTTGCTTTGAGATGCTGTCGCCCACGGGCTCACTAAAGGTATCTTATTGGCACGGTGTGCTCATTGCCGAGGGAAGTGCGGAGGGGACGTACCGGGAGGAGACGTTCCAGGGGGGGGGGGGGGATGCAGCTTGTACAACCAAGTGTCAAATTGCTTTTCTTCTCAACTGAGAGAGGAAGCAAATACTTTGGGTACAGTGTAGTCTGGGTCTGAGCTTCTCCTGAAGACGCTCTGGACTTCCCCACGAGCTTGGCTTAAACATAAGCCGGCTTTCGTCCTCGCCTCCATCCCTCACTGAGGATCAGCGCCGCAGCGCGGAATACAGAAAGAAGCCGACGAGCGCCAGAAGGGGGAGATGTTTCCTCTAATGTGCTTCATACTGCCTGCGGTACGACTTCTCGTGGCGGGAAGCTAATAAAAGAAAGATAAACGGTAAGTGCACTCTAAAGGTTGGAGGCTGCTTAGACGGGGTCCTCAAGCCGACGCCGTAGGCATTTATTTCTATACGATGCCGTTTCAACTTAGGGTGGCGGGACGTAATTTAGGAAAGGCGCCCGCTACCCCTTGTCTCCCCTTGGCGCTGTCTTTTCCAGTTAAACGCGGCTTCTGTGGATTGACGGCAGAGCTTTCGCGCGGCTTTGCAGGAGCGAATATGTGCGTGTTGAACGGACTTGGGGAAAACGAGCCCTTTCAAAGATGTGGCTATACATAAATTAAATAGACAGTGCCTGTGCCCGTTCCAGTGAACACCGACTCCCAAACATCCATGCTGCAGTCGTGATCGGCCTTTAGCCCAGTTGAGATTCGCCGACCAGACAACCGCTCTGCCCCATCATATCTCTGCACCTGTCCTCTCGACCCTGACGAATGAGCTAACTACCCAGAAACATGTAAGTGTTCTTTCCATACAAAAAATATCCAGACGAAGTGCAATTGAATATAATTTGGAAGGATCCATTGCTGGTTTAAGGTCTTGTCTAAGTTGAAAAGTTATAGTTGCCGAACTGCAACATGCTTTCAAAAATATTCAACAATTATTCGCTTTCGTTCTCTCGAGTTGCATCCAGAACACGTGAAAACACGAGTTCGTATTGGCAATGCCGCATGTGCTGCGCTCTGGACATTCCAAATATACGGCGAACAGCCAACGAACTTGCCTGGCAGCGTTCGTTTCGCTCGCTCCGTCAACACTGTTTGACGCCGCGAGCAGCGTCGAAGCCGCCGGGTCATTTTTGTCGCTTGTTTGCAACGTACTCGCTCCGCTGATTTAAGCCGCTCTTCCCGTTGCCGCAGCAGTTGAGCACTAGCTCCAACCAGAATGTTTGCCAAGGCCATGTCTTTAAGCTGCCCTAAATCGACTGCTCACGTAGTGTCGGTCTGAAACCCAAATTTCAGAAAGGATAGTGTCACCACAATTTTCGAGACACTTACCTCTAGCGTGGTCACCCGAAAGGTTTTAATTCAAAGAGTTCATCCCCGACAGGTAAACCGATACAAAAGCTCTCAAGATCTATATTACGTTATCAGAGTTTAATAAAAACGATAACTCCACAAAAAATATAAACACTTCCCTCTCTCCCCCCCCCCCCCCCCCGCCGTTTAACACCGAGGAACCGCCCCCCCTAAAATGGAGGTCTGGATCCGCCCCTGGGCGGCAGAGAGCATGTTTACAAAAAAATACCGGTGAATACCTAATGAATATTCCTACCTAGCACTTCCGACGGTTTGCGAGATATAAGCTCAATCTTTCTGACGAAATCCAATGCTGTAGCAGATCGTCTGGCCACCTTTTAACCGGTTGCACAGTTGCGTCGCTAGGCACAATCTGCCGCCCGATTAAAGTTCAGCCTTGTTGGTGCTGTGGTCATGCCTACGACCAGCTTCCTCACTCCCTCCTCCTCAACGAAAAGAACTCCTTCCTCCCCAATAACGAAAGGACGTGCGCTGGCCGGGCTCATCGGAAAGTGCATATTTACAATGTTGTGACCGACAGAACAAACTTTCACTTCAAGCCTCATCTATGCGCACAGACCATGGTGTCTTGGTATGGACATGATTGTTTGACGAACTGCAAAAAAATATTTTTTAGGTCAAAACAACAGTGTTGCCAAGCAAAACGGGGTTATCGGCATCAGCAACAAGAAACAAACTATCAAAGCTCCATTTGCACCCTAAGAGAAGAAAAGAGAATTATAGACACTAACTCATTGATACATTGAGGCCACCCTGTAGCACACGCTTACTTATGTTTGCGACCAAAAAAAATTAAAGTTACTTTTGATCCCTCGGATAAAGTGTGAGCACATAATGTGTGTGTGTAAGGTGGGCAACTGAAAGTGCCTCCACGCTTACCCAGTAGTGCCAGCAGCTGCTACTGCAGTCTTCTTGACAGCGTCCTCTCTATCTGGAGCTCCTGCTCCAGGTTCACCACCCTCTGCTTTGCCGACCGCGGCTTTTCAACCAGTCAGGCATGCTCCCCAAGCGACACAGTGGACGTCTTGTCCTCCGTCTTCTTTTTTCTTGTACTTGCCACCCACTGCAGGGAATGGCGACATCTCAATCTGGAAAAGAAAAAAGGTCCACGTATTTCAATATTCATTTAATATAAACTTCCAACACATTATTCGTACACACATAGTTCACATTAAATCGCCTCCCCCCCCCCTTTTATTTTCTAGGTGTATGTTTCAGCACTATACCTGTGATTGCACCCTCCCCCTGACAGAATGCTTCCAGATGCCCATTACCGTATATCCAGTATTCACTGTCATTTCAGGAAATAATTGCTACATCGTCCTTTACACATTCTAGTGTGTAAAGGACGAAGCGTGTATCTGTTTGCGCTACGTGTACCTGTTGGCAAAAAGCACTGTATAGGTAAACGAAATAGTAAGATAAAATATTGTGTTAAAAGGTACTTCTCAGTTAGAAAGTAAATTGTGATTATACTACTTTGCACCCAGTGTACTTTCTATGAGGTACGTAAACTCTCAGTTACTTTGTACTTGCAATCCAGTACTTTTAAATACGATAGCATTTATAAGCAAACCCTATGCACCTTAGGCCTCCGTTGGTCCGAGGATTTGTAACTGCATTTGAAAACAGCATGCGCCGGCACATTATAATTCAGAAAAGAAAAACATGCCGCCGGCACTGTGCCTCAAACCCACAACTGTTGGGGTCTAAGCCGGGCATCGTATCCGCTTCACTACGAGCACACATGGCCAAGCATTTGCGAAAGAGTTACTGGGTGCAGGCAAGAGCTGCGTTGATGCGCGTGCCAGTGACTCAACGCCGTTGTTGCCATAGCAATGAGTGTCACATCTGGTCGCAGTCACGCAGAGCCATATCTGAGGAGAGCTCTGTGAACCAGACTTGAGCATCATCTATCGTTGTCGGTATGCAAAAGCAGGTCTCACCAGATTAACCTACACGCAAGCGTGCTGAGGCACAGCGACAGCAAAGTGCCTAGGGCACTTCGGAACAACATGAAACATGTTTGTTGAAAGCTAGAGAGGAAAGTAGCAACAAGAGGACCATCGAAGCGGATGAAAAGATTCAAAAGAGGAAACTTCGGCTGCAACGCAAGCAGGACGCCAAACAAACGAGAACATCTTGCGATAGTGGAGAAGAGATGCACCTTTGAGTACAACAAGATTGAGACTTAGAGCAGGTGAGGACGCCTCGTAAGACTGAAGAGAGTGAAATTCAGATATAATGCGGTCGAGAAACAAGCAGGAGAGTATCTCTTAAAATTGAAGACGGACAACTTCGGCCACAGCACAACCAAGACCAGGAGTGGCCAAGCTGCGGCTCTTTGTGTGTTCAAGTGCGGCTCGTGGTCCACTTTCATAGAGCGTATCTACCCACCGAATCTGTGTAACAGAATAGCAAGCAATTTAAAAAAAAAAGTCTATACAAATAGTCCTGATTAGCCATAATGAATGGACACAATTACTCATGAGGCGAACAAAATGCAAGAGATTCCTTAGCCTAACCGTGCAATTTTACCCACAATTACTGCGCACCGGTAGCAGAAGTGAAGTATGGTGCCGATTTGAAGAAGGGACGCAAAAGACGAACTTAAGGCCGCTGGCTCTGAACAGTCTAAGAATGGGGTAAGAAAAACAGTTTAAAAGTGCACATATACCTCGTATCTTGAGTACAATATCATAGGGATGGCCACATGCTTCTTTTTCAAAGCAGCAACCAGCTGACCTCGTGTCTCTGTAAGACAAGACATGCACATTGAGCTACACCTCAAAGTCGTGTTTGTCCCCCTTCCCCCCACCCCCTTGTATCGAAGTTTATAAATATGACCGTTCACCAGCTAGCCTGCGCTATAACCCTTGTTTCAACAAGTCTTTTTTTCTATATTTTTACAAATTAAATGCACCACCTAGTCGAACATATGTGGTAAAGTTGTCGTAGCTTACAAAGCCGATTTGTTGTGATTTATTTTAAATGTCGTGGCTGCCATCTGGTGCGCCCTGTAGTTCAACATTGTAGCTTTTGCCGCCCAGTTCTTTACAAATCCGGCGCAAGGACATATTCGTGCCCACCATATTTCGCGAATTCTAGACGCCGGAACGGGGGACGCCGGAACGGGGGCCCACCAAATTTCCGCTTTCCACGTGTCCTTAAATTTCGCTAATTTTTGGACGTGTAGAATTTGCCAAAAATTAGGGGCTCGCGAACATTCGGGAGTTTTAGTAGACCGCGTTTCCCCCTCCGCTAATCTTTCCGCAACGAAGAAGTTACTACTGCGTCTGCACGCCGATAGCCTTGACTGTAGAGTTCCAGGTATATAGCGAGTTGCGGAGGGCGTTGCGGTACGGCGAAAACGATCCACGAAAACTCCCTATTAACGGTTTGCACAAAACGTTGTACTTCGAGCCCCTGATGCTTAGAAAACAACTTACCATTCCCCGGCGCACGCTCCAACAGCCTTCCAGTAGACGCTTTTCGGCACGTCGGGGTCGAAGTCGCCAACGCTCGCCGGTTTGAACTTCTTGATACGGTTCACGCTGACTATTCCCTTCGCGCCATCAACATATATCACGTACGCTTAGAGCATATCGACACCGATACAGACCGTTCGATAATAGCCCTAACGTCAATGCGGCTTTGGCTCAGAGAACTGGCCAGCTGGCCAGCGGCGCGGGTACGTAAGGATTGGATTGGATTGAAGAAATAATCTGCCTTAGTTTATATTAGTACTATTATTACTCAAAATACTTTTAAAAGATTTAAAAGCATAAAAACTTACCATGTTAAGTTTATTTCATGTTAAGAAAAACATTGTTTGTCCGTCGTTGGTTGTTTTTCTGCACTCGGGCTTGCAGCTACGAAATCCAATCCAATCCGATGTCAAAAAAAAACCGAAACCGAAACTACCACGGTACAGGGCTCAGAGCTATGAAGTAAACTCTCGTTTATCTCGGCCTCGCTTCCCATAGATTTGGTTTTCGCATTTTATGACTTTAAATATGCATGTAATAAAATTATTGAGTTTGATAGCTGAAACTGTTAAATTGAAATGACCTAATATGTGATTTTCTGCTTAAAATTCTTTATTGAAAAAAAAAATATCACAGTTTAGTTTCGCGGTGCGCGCGTTCCCGTCGAGGTCTGATAATTTCTGGTCGCGTTAAATAGACCGACCTCACCCACTACTAGAGGGGGCTGGATGGCGCATTGAGCAAACAGGTATGAAGCCACCGGAAGTGAGCGGCTTGTCCCGGAAGTGAGCGCTTGGCAGGCTTTGTAACCCTTCCGAGTGCTGGTTCGAAAAGCGTCGAGGGCGCTGGATTTCCGCTTGTTCCCTCAAGAGAGCCTGATTGTTGCGCAGTAAGAGCGCATGCGGACCCGAGAAGTATCATGGGAAGCCATTCAATCTAAACAATTTGAGACTCTAGTTGATCAAGTTGTGAATATGTCCCAAGTTCAAATGCCGCATTCTCGGGATTTAATCCAGAACGAGAGTATTAAAACCCAATCAAAGACACAAAAAAGCACGGTTCAAAATATCGACTGAATGCACTAGGAAGCCCAGCTCACGCCCGACTTCCGGGACAAGCATTGAACTTCCGGTGGCTTCACTTGCGCAGGGCTGGGAGAGCAGCTAAGCGCCATCCAGCCCCCTATAGTAGAGATCAGTGATCTCACCGGCCAGTTTGACTACGCCACCGCTGCCGCAATGCAGCGAGGGAACTTTAGTCTTTGGGCACGTGCGACAACCTCGCTGGAGCTCTTCGCGTGTAGAGCACGAGAAGGCACGAACCCTCGCGTGCACGGCCGTCTGCCGCCTGTGAACTAAAGTTATGGCGGCTTTACGCATGCGCCCAACGCTTAGCGAGATCGGTCTATTGTGTATACCGGTAGAGCCTGTGCAAGGTTACCGACCGCCGGTTTAAGTGCCGGCGCCGGTAAGGCGTTACCGGTCGCTCCGATACGTGGTTGCTGTTAGCCGCGCATCGATTACAGGCCACTGGTACGTTATTACGGCCCACCAGTGTGGCGTACCGGCTTCGCCTGTACGTGTTCACTCGCCGCCTGTACATGATATGGGCAACCGCTACGGCGTATCGGCTTCGCCGGTACGTGGTTACCGGTTACCGGTGTGGCCTACCGGCGGTGCCCGTACGTGTTTACCGGCCGCCTGTACATGGTATGGGCAGCCGGTACGGCGTATCGGCTTCGCCATTACGTGGTTACAGGTCGCCGGTACAGAGCTACCGGTTACTGATATGAGAATACAGGACTCCGGTGTGAACCGGTTTAGGCCGGTATACATTTGTACAGGTTTTTTTAGTAGGGATCCGAGTTACTGGTGGAGAAAATAAAGTATTTCAGATTCTCCCTTCAGAATTGCATGACGCAACTTTTGTCATCTCTTGAATTTTTTAGGTATTTAGGCAATCAAAAAGTATGCACATCCTATCACAGAAATAGGCTGTAGCCATGGCTGCCTCAGGAAGTTCCTTGGCATAAACAAGGGATATGATTGCAAGAATGTGAGGCACTCAGTACCTGTGGGGCACAATTTTCTTCCATGTTACAGAAAGACTCTTGAAAAAATGTGTCTCTCAGTAAGTTTCGGAGCCAATTGCAAGCTCATCTCATGGATAGAACAATAAAGTTCAACAATAGAAGACCACTGAATGACCTCATTTTCAATGTAAAGTTTGTGGGCTTGGAGATTGCTCTTGGTTGTTTTGGGAAGGTGCGGAACATCAAACACAAAGTAAACGTGTTCGTTGTCAACTTCAAAAAATGGCTTATCAACGCACACACCAAGCTTACGTTTGAAGCCCCCTAACCACAGACCACAGCCTTTACTGTGAAGTCAACAGTCTTAAGCTCCCGAATGAGAGAAATGAGACTGCGCTAAACAGAAGACGTTGTTGGAGTGTGCACAACAGTGTATGCATGGGGCTAAACGCACCTCTTGGAAATTTCAGACAGTATAACAACCAAGGCTCTATCTGCAATGTTAGAGGTTTGTTCAACACCGTCATCTGTAAACCCATGGACAATGTCGTGTACAGGGTCGTAAGTTAGATTCTATTTTTTTAAACAATCTCATCGAAAATCAACATGCACACACGTTCAAGTGCAGCCAGACAGCCCGGCAGAAACAACAGCGCGAGAAGCACGAACCGATCGGCTCCACGAATTCACGCCGAGCATGCGAGCACGCGGGCGGTCATGCGTCACCTTGATTGTTGCAAAGTCGACCGAACATGATGCAGCAGAAAGCACAGATGGACGGCACGCAAGGCACAGACGAACGGCGCAGGGACGAGCAGAGGCCATGCAGAATGATGCAGAGGCGACGGCGTGCAGGCAGGCAGGCAATGGCAGGCGCCATTCATCACGTGGTTTTTGTGACGTATTTGATTTAAACTCTTTAGTCGTTTTAACTACTTCAAATAATTTTGAAGCATCGCCATTTAAAAAATAAATACTTTTCACAGAAAGAGTTTTAATTAATTTTAACCAAATTGCAGAAAAGCGCCACGTAGCGGAGGCTATTAAACGCACTATCTGGGCCGCGAATCGGCTCCTGTGTCCCCTCTTTACGTTGACTATATTACTCTATGCCTCGGTGCTTTTGCTGGCGCCGCGGAAGTAGTCAGACATCGCCAGGAAGACGAATCAACAGTTCGAACGCGAAAAAGGGCAGGGGGACCCACACCGACGCCGACAACATCGCATTTCAATGGTTTGTTTATGCGCGACGGCGAGCATCTTGCCCACATCCCCATCGCGCATGCGCGGCGCCGGTGACGACCGCTAGGGGCTCTCCGGTTTCTTTGTAAACATGAGTCGGTGAATAGTGAACTATTTCTTCTCTCCTTTCCTTCGAAGGCTCTCAGTTGCTCTTAGCCTTTTCACAGCGATGCATCCGCGATGCACAATCATGCCATAGCCTCCTATATACTCAGTATGGAGCCTACACTCTAAGAAAAAATGACTACCCTGGGTGGTCAAATGGCGCTTTGGAGGCTTTGACTACCCCAAAAGGCGAGTTACGACCCCAAACCGCTGTGGAATGACCGCCTTTCTGCAGGTGACGACAGGGTGGTATTCACTTTCGAATCCGATATTCACGTGCAGGCAGTCGTAAATAATATTAGTAACTTGGATAACTACTGGAAGACTATAAATGATATGCTTCCTTAGCTTTCGTGATCTTTTAAGATCCGCCAAGATCACATATGTTGTGCAATTCGCGTAAATTGGTGGAATAAACATTTTGTCAGCGCGCGCAGCAACACTGGTCTCGACAGCCGTGGACCGTGGTGGGGTGTAGCGTGTAGCTGTGGCACCATAACAACAACAACGCTTGCCTGTTCTGTCTTCCTTTTCTGTCCCTCTCCTTGTGCGCTGTTTAATTATGTATAGCAACCACCAACTAGCCCAAGTATCCACCATTTTAAACAACAAGCGGCGTGGGTGTTTGCTGAACTGAGGTGAGGATATCTTTCTGACCTATTTTATTGCAAAGAATATTTTAAAAAAATGATTAGTTGTATATCTGATCGTGTTGAACCATTGAACAGTGGGACCGAGGATCGGCAGGGTAAACATGCTCAGAGGTATGTGTCTGTGTCGCCCGTACTGTTTTCATCAATCTCGGACTGGTTGAATGTCTGAGCTGCACCCGTCGTGGTTGTATCTCCTGGCTGTACGTACGTAGTGCGCGAACTTTCCAACTCAGTAGCAGGTTGAGATTCAGTGGCAGCGTAGTAATTGGCTTTTACTAGATTGTTGTGTTGTCACGAGCGCTATTTGTGCTTTTACAAGCGCCAGCGCGAGCCCGAACTTTCGCCTCGTTCACCGTTTGCGTTCTTCTGGTTTGATGTTCTGCTCTATGATTTATTAAACCTAAATCTAAAGGTCAATCGCCTCTGCCTCGTCACCCATCAGGACACCCCATAGCGCTGCCGCTCTACCGGCCCTTCCTGGATGTCTCCTGCTGCCAAGTAACAGCCGGATCGTCGAACCTCCATCATCGTCGCCTCTCCACCAGAGGATCACTACATTTTGGTGCGTCAGCTACCACTATATTTCGGCGCGTCAGCTACCGCTATATTTTGGTGCGTTGGCCGAGCCTGTCGGCCCGTCCCGTTTTTTCGACTGTTTAACTCTTTTCTGGACACAAAAAGAGCCCCCGCGGTTTTTCACAACGTTCTTGCGCTCGTGCTCGTTCAGTTTTTTCATTTTTTTTTTTTTTTAAAGGCAATATATAAGCTTCCGAGGTTCTTTGCAGTGTTCCAACACTTGTGTTCCTTCAGTTCTTTTAGGACAGTAAATAAGCCCCTGATGTTCTTCACAGTGTTCCAACGCCCGTGATTGTTCAGTTTACCAGTCTGCCTTGCAAGACACGCCTTTCAAACCGTCTGATCTTTTCCCCTTGGTCGGTCGCTCTGCTGTACCCGGTTTTGGACTTTACGAAATTTCTTTGCATTAAGACACGCTGCCCTATACTCCGTTCCATATATGTAGAAAGTTTGGCCATTCGTTGGGAAGTATAGGAGACAAATGAGGAAGTGCCATTGGCCGAAAGCAGGCTGGGCGTGTTCCAGGGCGTCTTCACAAATTCGAAGATGGCCAATCAGAAGCCGGAAATAATACCCTGGCGGTGGTT